GAACATTTGTAAAGGTTTTTTTTTAATTAAAAAAAATAAAATTAAAGAAAATTCTGAAACAAAGTAATGGCTAATCAAAACTTGATTAACAATGTCAATTTGAAACATTTTGATTTTTATCTGATTTTTAAGCTTTTTTTTAAACCAAAACAATTTGGCGAAATCGACATACATTTGCAAACTGTTTTGGTGTCTTCACATCTGCACTTTTTGCCCAAAAAAACCTAGTTTTCAGGCAACAAATTTCACCCAGATCTCTTGGTGCCCACCCTGCCCTTCCCACATTGCTAAGTGGGAGTAAGGATTCCAGCTAGATGGGAGCAGTGTTTCAGGCTAAGGTTGAGAACCACAGCTCTAAACAATTCCTTCTTGGAGTCTCCACCCTTGGGATCTCCCATGTGGTCATTGTATGACAGTAAGGGGTTTACCTGCCTCTTTAACTTGCCTAACTGAGTTGGGCAAGGATCATACACCTAAGATTCCCAACATGCCATAAACAAGGAATTGCGGGTTTTGTGCTGCTGCTTTAGGAGACTCATTTTAAAGAATAACAGTGAAACTATGTAATGAATGAGGCAATTTCCTAACACCCTGAAGTCATAACAAATTGCCACTCATGTGAGTCACTCCCAGCCAGAGCAGAATACACAGAAAGGTTAAGCTGCCCCGTGTAGTTTTACAGGTGAGCAACATTTATTGACCATCTGATGGCAGTGACAAGCTCTGTAATGTAGCAAGTTGTCAGAACACCAGCCCATTGCCCTTGTAAATAAAGAGCAAATTGCAAATATTCAGAGCTGATCTCCTGCTAGGTCTAAGAATGAGCAACAAGAACATAGATTGGGGGATCCACGTGTCTAGCTACAAGGTAGAGATGCCTTTACCAGGCATTTCCTCATTCTATCACCCAATGTCAGCACCTTTGCACCACATTTTCAAAATGTGGGGTCAGATTTTCAGCTTGGCTCCCACTTAGGCACCTGATTAAGGATCAGATTTTCAGACATATTCAGATTCTATTGTGACACTTAGACCCAGATTCTCCAGTGTCCAGGGGTGCAAGTTGGATACTCAGGTCTTATGAAAATATGGCCCCAATTATAAGGGCTGAGCCCTTCTGAAAATTCCAGTCTAAGTGCCTACCCTTCACTGCCAAAGCACACACTAGACATGTGCAAAATGGGAACGTCACGTACCAGGGCTATGCTTGTACATAAGCCCCGATTTTGCATGGAGCCTATCCCTGTGTGAGCATAACCTAGGTGCCTTAGGATAAATTGTGCTCTTAGTTACACTGGTGCAAATCAAGAGGAAATCAATGGTGCAAATTCCAGATATAAACAAGTATGATTGAAAATAAAACCCAGTTCCTTGTCTTGCAATGTAGCTCTTGAATTGGTTTTTATGAATGTTTGCAGTCCTTAGACTGTATTTCAATCTGCCAGTGAGATGCTTGGACAAAAGTTGATAAATGCCAGCAAATCTGCATTGTGGAATAATAATAACCAGCTCTTATAGAGTGCTTTTATCAGTCGATCTCAAAGTGTTTTACAATGGGAGTCTTTGCAAGGTTCATTGGACACATCACAAGGAGCTTTGCTTGTAAGGACAGTTTACAATCAGTTTAGTTTTTTTTTTAAATTGTTCTTTTTCATATAAAACTTCATCTTGATGTTTATCCTACACACATGGCTGGCACCTGGCCTCCCAGGCTGTAACCGCAAAGGAATCTCACATCTAATGATAGGGGCTGAGTTAGATAGAGAAGTGTGTGTAGAATAAAATGATACCTACATAGGAAGAGATTTGTTGGATGGCTCTTTAAGTTAGCAGACAAAGGCATAACAATATCCAATGGCTGGAAGCTGAAGCTAGACAAATTCAGACTAGAAAAAAGGTGCAAATTTTCAACAGTGAGGGTGATTTATTGGACCATCTGACCTAGAGATATAGTGAGTTTTCCATCACTTCAGTCTTTAAATCAAGATTGGACGTCTTCTCTAACTCAAACAGGAGTTATGGGCTGGATGCAGAAATTACTGGGTGAGATTCTATAGCATGTGCTATTCAGGAGGTTGGAGCAGATTATCATAATGGTTCCTTCTGAACTTAAAATCTATGACTCTGTATCAATAGCAGACATTGGTTTAGCTGAAACTCCAATTTCACTAAAACTTTGTCTCTCCACAACCTTCGTACATTATAAATAGCAGCAGGAAAGAAAAACAAACAATCTGAGCATTTTACTTTTTTTGTTTGGGTTTTAGAGATGATTTTTAACTGCATCTATCTCCCAAGTCTTTCCAACCTCCAAGTACCTTTTACTTGCACCCTTGTTGGTGACAAAATTGCCCTCTTCTGGAGAACTCAAGAACTGCTCCCATATGCAAAACTCCAGAAAATAAGAAGCTACATCATCAACGCCTGTTGTTACCAGCTTGTGTAAAAAGCTAGAATTACACATCCATGTGCATTCGCTTAGCAACCCAGATGAAAGGCGAGTGGTGGCTTACAGTGTGACACTAGCACATGTATGATGTTAGATCAATTTCTTGAATATGTGTGATGTTAATGTTTGCAGTGTGGAATAATAACCATCAAATTCTTAACTCCGCTAGACACCAAGCAGGGACTCAATAGAGACACATATCTCGCATTACAACAATTGGTGACCCACTAACTCTCCTTGTCCTCTGACTGCAGAGGTGCTAACTGCTCACTTCATTTTGAATGGTCTCTTGCAACATGTGGTAACTCCTTATGCTTAACGTTGTATTTAGCTGTGACACATTTGTGTATTTAGCAGCCGGGCTCCCACTGGGAGCTCTGTGGGGAGCCCTCAGCCTGGGTTTTCCAGCTGTCTGCACTGCTGGGGCTCACAGCTGGAATGCCCCCCCCCCTTTCAAAACAGAGACCCTACCAGAGGTGAAATTGACAGCTACCGCTGTCTGAGCTACGTCCACCTAAGCCTTATGCCTCTCGCTGAGGTGGTTTTACTAGGTCGGCCTAGTGGGCAAGTTGCAGTGGCAGGAGGAAAACTGTAATGTGTATGCACTGCTTACATAGTTAGGTCAAGGTAAGCTCCCTTACATCGACTTAACTTTGTAATGTAGACATGCCCTCTGATTACCTTTCCCAGGCAGGCAGAAGAGCGCTGTGGAGCTCGAAAGCTGGTGTCTTTCACCAACAGAAGCAGTGTCCAATAAAAGGTATTTCTTCACTCACCTTATCTCTGAAGTTAATGCTCATACAAAAGGACCATTAGTGTTGGGTAGAGTCAGGCAGAGGTTGGCGAGGGGACATGCAAGCTTCCCACACAGCTGTAATCTGCAGCGCCCTCTGCTCTGCCAGCCCTAGGCTCCACCCACACAGCTCTGCCAGTGCACCTCCATCCTGACCATTGAAGTGCTGCCCCCCCAAAGCTGCCATGCACCTCGGTCCTGGCCTAGGGCACTTGCTGCTATCCCAGCCCTAAGCCTGTCTCGAGCAGAGACTAATGAACAGGCCAAGTTGGGCATAATTGTTTTTGGTGGGCTAAAATGAGAATTTTAGCAGTTTCCGTTCAGCTAAACAAGGCTGATGATTCCCTCTGAACCTGAAATCTTGCCTTGGGGGCTCAGATTTTGCATGTGGCAGTGGCTGTCACGAAGCACACACTTGTTCGAGGCCCCTGCTCTTATCCTACCAGGGAGATCTGAGCACTTTCTACCAGTGTCTCACTCCCAGGCAGCAAGAGAATCCAGGCATGGCCAGTCCTTGGAGACGTTGTTTATATCCTCCTCCCCCACCCCCCCCAAACACCTGCTTTCATTCTCTGTGCTCTTCCCAATCCTCAGGTCTTCCTTTCCCTGCTATCAATGCCACACCTTTTTATTTTAAATAGAGCCTGCTCTGCTTAGAGCAAACAGCCTCCTTTCCATTCTTCACCTACCCTTCCCCTCCCCCTTCTCCTTTATGCCTTTACATATCAACCAACTCAGCCACTTACTTAGCCCTTGAAACCTGGTCTCCCCACCAGGGCTATCTGGCATGCAATCTCTGTACTGTCATGTGCCACTGCAATCTCCTCCGGGCAGGGATTCTGTTGCCTTGCGGGGATTTGAGCAGCAGGAAGCAAGCGTTTGCGGTCTCAGGGACACTTTCTGTGCAGTCTCTCCCATCTGCAGGGAACAGATCGGAGATCCACCAAAGCATTTGATATACACCAAGCAGCATTCAATAACGTGATGAAGTGAACAAGTGACCACGCTGAAAAGCTCCATATCCTGGGTCCATCCAGCCCATATCCTGAGCCATGCAGACCAGTTAATGGGCCAGATCTTGCTTTGGAGCTACACCAAATTACACCAGTAGAGGATCTGGCCCTATATAATTTCCTTTGATGGGCTGGTTCTGGTCTCCAGCAATCTCAGCAGCTACTGTCACTTTCAGAGACCACATTAAGCAATGCTGCCATCTAGTGGTTGATTCATACTTGATTTTCCTACACACTTGCCCTTATTATTAGGGCCCTACTAAATTCACGGTCATGAAAACTGTATCACAGACCATGGAATCCGCTCTCCTCGGTGAAATCTGGTCTTTTATGCACTTTTACCCTACACTGTACAGATTTCACAGGGGAGACCAGCATTTCTCAAATTGGGGTCCTGAGCCAAAAGGGAATTGCAGGGGAGTTACAAAGTTATTTGGGGGTGGGGGAGGGGGAGTCAGGGTATTGCCACCCTTACTTCTGCACTGCCTTCAGAGCCGGGTGGCTGGAGAGCGGCGCCTGTTGGCCAGGTGCCCAGTTCTGAAGATGGTGTCCCGCCAGCAGTTGCGCAGAAGTAGGGGTGGCAATACCATACTATGTCATCCCCCGGCGCTGCTGCCTTCAGAGCTGGGCAGCTGGAGAGTGGCGGCTGCTGACTGAGAGCCCTGCTCTGCAGGCAGAAGTATGGGTGGCAATATGATACCATGCCATCCTTACTTCTGTGTTGCTGCTGGTGGCAGCTCTGCTTTCAGAGCTGGGCTCCCGGCCAGCAGCCACCACTCTCCAGCTGCCCAGCTAGGAAAACTTCTGTTGGTGGGAGAGAGGCTGCCGAGCCACCAAGAGCTCTTCTTCAGGGCTGGGAAAGGTACTCCCGGAGTCACAGCAAAATGAACGGTGGAACAGATTGTTTAGCATAAGTAGATAGCATATATTGCACGGGACCTTTCAAGGTAGAGTTAACACCTCTGCAGTCATAGGACAAAAAGCGGGGTGGGGGAGGGGAGAGTTAGTGGGGAGCAGATTGTTGTAATAAGCCATAAATCCACTGTCTCTGTTCAGCCCCTGATTTTTAGTGTCTAGCAGACTTATGAATTTAAGCTCCCAGCCCTAGCTCATCTTTTGAATGTGTTGTGCAGGTTTCCTTTGAGGATGAGGCCTGATATGTCCCGCTATATCAGGAGCCTGGCAGAATGGACATGGACACAAACTGATGTGTTCTCAGTTTGCAACACCCAAACCCCATCCTACAATGCATTGCAAATGAACAAAGAAAAATCACAGCCTCCCTTTGTTTGCCTCTAGTGTTGAGGAGATTAGGGGGTGGTGGAAAGAGGATTGTGGCTAATGCTTCACTCTGTCGACAGCCAAATCAGTGCTGTAGTTGGAAACCTCAATCAGGTTTTCATCGGGGTCTCGGAAGTAGATGGATGTGATTGGACCAATGGCACCGGTTCTGGGCACTGGGCCTTCTTCAATAGTCACACCACAGGCCTGGAAGGAGAGGGAAGGTAGGTTTGGTTTTCAGCATTAACAATGGTTTTCTAAGGGGCTTGTCCCCAGTCCCCCCCCAGGCAGATGGTGGAACCATTGTCCAAGCACCTCTCTGGCCACGGTTGTTCTGATTTAACAGTGTTGCTGTGCCTTTCCCCAGGAGAGGGGCAGATGGTGAAGAGGACCTAGAAGAGCACTAGGTGTTGCCAAGCAGGGCCCTAGCCGCTCTTGAACCCTGTGATCCCAGCCTGTGGCACTCGATGGCTGCACCTCCTGGCAGAAAAGCTGTTCAGCATTCAGCACTAGAAAGGGGAACAGGACACAACCAATAGATTCAGGTTCACTGGTGAGCTAAGCCAGGCTTTGAATACAGGTCTCCAGAGCTAAGGCTATTATTGCATTAACCCCTTAATCTGCCAAGTCCCTGGGTTTATCTGTCCATGGGTAAGGGGTGTGGGTGTAGGAAGCAGAGAGTCACACAGGTAATGAAATAGACCTTCAAGAAGGCACAGGTATAACTGCCCCTCCCCATGTGACCCATACTGCTTAGAATTGGGAGGGGAGGTCTTGGATTTCCCAGGCGGATGGCTGGGTGACAGATCTCACGCTGGATAGTAAGAAAATCTGAAATCTCCCAAACTCCAGTTCCCTATGGTGTCTTTCTTGAGAACATCTAAATCGGGGTAGACAACCTATGGCACACGTGCCAAAAGGGGGCACATGAGCTGATTTTCAGTGGCACTCACACTGCCCGGGTCCTGGCCACCAGTCCAGGGGGCTCTGCACTTTAATTTAATTTTAAATGAAACTTCTTAAACATTTTAAAAACCTTATTTCCTTTACATACAACAATAATTTAGTTATAGATTTATAGAAAGAGACCTTCTAAAAACATTAAAATGTATTACTGGCACACGAAACCTTAAATCAGAGTAAGTGAATAAATGAAGACTGGGCACACCACTTCTGAAAGGTTGCCAACCCCTGATCTAAATTCATCTTATTGAACACTCATGTGCTCGCTACTCTGAGTGACTTCCATGGACTTTGAACTCAAGAGATTCTCTTCATTAAGGGTCCAGTGGCAAACAGGGCCGGCTCCAGGGTTTTTGCCGCCCCAAGCGGCAAAAAAATAAAATAAAATAAATTTTAAAAAGCTGCAGTTGCGATCGGCGGCATCTCCACCACATCGCTTTCTTCTTCGGCGGCAGGTCCTTCCCTCCGAGAGGGACCTAGGGACCCGCTGCGGAATTGCTGCTGAAGAGCCCGACGTGCCGCCCCTGCCCCTTGGCTGCCCCAAGCACCTGCTTGCTGAACTGGTGCCTGGAGCCAGCCCCGGTGGCAAATGCTCTGCAGACCTGCGCAACTAGCTAGGCTGTCAATTGCCCCTGACAGTGATCCATACAGCATAGCACTGCTGATGTGGATCCTTGTTCCTTATGACTTCCTTGTGCTGTCTAGCAGAGAAGATAAAGAGACACAACTGAGCTAGGTTGGACTGCAAAACATTGTGGGTGGATGGGGCTGAACATATGGTGTATGGACAGAAGGAAGGGGCCAATTACATAGATTAGTAGGTGATGGGTTTTGTGTTCTGAAGGCAAGAGAAACAACATTGGCGAGTAATATTTTGGCAGGTACTGTACTCTGCTGTCCCAGGACTGGGGGTTCTGTATGCCTCTGCCACCTTACCTCATCCCTGATCTGAAACGTGCACTACTATTCCAGTCCTGCCCTTAGTCTCCCTTCATCACAGCTCTGCAGATGCCCTTCAATTCTGTCTCACACCTCCCTCAGCTATTCCAGTCCAGGGTTTCCCAGGCATGTCTCTGCTGCTGACCTGCAGTCCCATCTGCTATTCCAGTCCTGGGGTTCCCACACACAGTTATGACGATGCCCCTCAATCCTGCCCCATAGACCCTGCCCCCAAACCCCCTGTTACCCCAGTGCTGAACCTGTTATACAGAGATTTTCAAATGTATCCCAAAGGGGGAGGTTTTGTGATATAGAGCAATACAAAGCCAGGAGATTCATGTTCACACACTGAACTCCAGGCGTCTGGTTCTCCTCTTCCTTACAACCCCCTTGACCTGAGTGGAATTACTCCTGATTTACACTGCTGTAAGCACAAGCTGAAATGGGCACCAGGTCTCCAACATGACAGGGAAGTTTGCTAGCCCCATTACTCTCTCACACCCCTGGGTTTATTCATTCACATCGGGCCTATGGTAGCATCCCATAAGACATGTGGCTACTTGTGTGAAACACAGTTTTCCCAACCTTCAGGTGTCCCACTAGCTGGTCTAGCGAGGTGTCTGTGATCAAGCAGACGTCTATGGAACCAGGAACTGGTCTGCGAGCCTTGGGTTCAAACTCCTTCCCAGCCTCGTGGAGGTTAAACTTTTGGTTCCCGAAACGTAGCGCTTTCCGGTTGCCCTGTCACCAAGGGAAGGGAAGGAAAGGATCAATGTACTGTCAAACAGAGACCCGCTGTGCTGAACGCCAGGACTGCAAGGAAAACCCTGGGCTGGGGAGTGAGCCACCTGTTCATAGCACCAGGGATACTGCTCTGAGAGAACAGGAGAAATCTCCTTTGACGCGTAGGAGGTGTGGTCCATTTCTGTACTCAATGTCACCCCCTTGTGGAAAGCAAGTGGAACTTCTGTTCCATAGCACAACAAGGGACACAGGAGTGAGGTCTTAGCATTGCTATAGCTTTACAGACATGGGAGGAGAAGGAGAATTTCAAAGACCCAAATGACAGTTTGATGCCTAGCTGCTGCTACATGTGTCTTTGGAAATGTCACCCAGGAACTAACCAGCCCTCCCACTGGCTCTATGAGGTCAAGCCGTTTTTTTTTTAAAGTAAATTTAAACAAACAAAAATGGATTTCAGTTTTTTGGTCCAAATTTGAAACTTTGCTGAAATGTCTAACTTCAAAGCACTGCAAGCTGCTCTAGAACTGGGAAATGGGCAGGGGAGAATTGTGAAAATGTCAGTTTTTTTGTTCCGTGTCTGTCAAAATTCCAAAAATGTCAAGCAACTCAAGAAGTAAGGGGCTTAGGGGCCTCTGGTGTATAAGCTATCCTGCTTCAAGGCATAGGTTCTGAACTCTGGCTATTGGGGGTCAGGAGGAAGCTTCCTTTAAAACAGGGCTTCCCAAACTGTGGTATGCATCCCCCTGGGGGCATGAGACACATCTCGGGGGTGGGAGGATATGTGGGAGAAATTGTGTAATGGTGGATTTTATTTATTCATTATTTTATTTATTGCATTCTCATAATAGGCTACTCAGACAAAGCTTTAAAACTCTGTGGGAATTTGTTATGTAAAATACGGTAGTTAATTTACTTCAAGATGTACCAATGAAAACACAGATACACAGAGACGCTGAGGTACAGAGCCCTCACCTCCAATCACTGTACAGCATGGGTTCAGTTGCCCAGCAACTGTCTGGTCTAACTGAGCTCAGAACTTAGTCAGGGTTTTTTTTTCAAGTTGTGTACATCGCACTATAACTATATATGTATGTAACAGTCCGATAGAGAGATGGCTAAAGACAGGTAGGGTTAAACAAGAACACTCAAAGCATCAGTGAGGAGGAGGATAGGGGTATGTGGGCAGCTGGAAGGGGATATGCAATATGAAAAGTTTGAGAACCTCTGCTCTAGAGGCAGGTTCTTCCATTATTTCCTGCTGTAGGGTCTTCTGTACCTGCCTCTGACAAAGCTGCTGCTGACTTATGTCAGAGACAGGACACTCAGTCAGATGCGCCATGGGCTGACAGTTCCTGAAGTCCTCACTCTACAGATAGGGAAAATAGAGATGCCTTGCTCACGGTGACACAATAAGTCAATGGCAGAAGCAGGACTAGAACTCAGAATATCCCAACTCTATCTTGCCCCTCAGATTACCTTGAAAGTGACTACTTCCATACCCAAGACTTTGGAATAAAAGCCTACGGTGTCCTCAATGCTCTTCACAGTCAGCACCAGGTGATCCAGTCGACGGATAAGACATGGTTGGGGGCCCTCACGCTTCTCCTGCCAGAAGGCCATCTGAAAGCCAGGAACCAGAGACTAAACCCAAGTAGAAATAAGGTTAGTGAGATGCAAGGACAAACTATCAGGTCATTTACTAGTTGGGCTGGCTAGGGACATGGGGCTAATTAAATGGAAGCAGAAGCCAAAGTTTGGTTTTCTTTTGGCCTGCGGTTGTGTAGCAGCGTGGACTCACCCCTGCGGCGCCTCCTGCTGGTCGTCTCAGGGAATTAGCTCTCCAGCCATTGGAGCGCTCTCTGCAGGCTATGCCCGCTACTGCTGGGCCCCTGTGTCCCTCCCAGGGCCCCGGTGCTCTTTTCTCTAGGGTGCTGCCCCTCTGGCAGTACTCTTCAGTCTCAGGGTCTCCCCACCCAGGGGAACCCCCACCCCCTATCCCTACCTTGCTTCAGCATATGGCTACTGCCAGTCATCATCCAGCCCCCACGCCCTGGGCAGATTGCAGTATCAGCCTACTCATCACCAGCAAGGTTGGGTTTGGACCTGCTGCTTTTGCCTACCCCTGGGCTGCCCCCTGCAACCTCCAGTACCTATTTGCCTTATGCTAGGCTGCAGCCTGGGGCTTTCCAGGCTGGAGCTCTCCAGTTCCTCTGCCTTTCCCCAGCCCTGCTCCACTCAGGTACCCTGTCTCTAGCTCCCTGCAGCCAGGCCCATCTCCCTCTACAACTAGAGAGAGACTGTTTGCTTGAGTGCCTAGCTCAAGCCTTTATAGGGCCAGCTGGGCCCTGATTGGGGCGTGGCCCCAGCTGAGCCTGCTTCCCACTCAGCCTGGGCTGTTCTCCCAGCCCTCTCCCAGGGCTGGTTTTAACCCTGGCAGGGATGGAGCAGGTAACCACCCCGCTACAGGTTGGCACATGAAAAATATGTTCTCCTCCTTGAAATGCTTCCTCAAGACCAACCTGTCTTGTGATGCCCGATTCAAAGCCCACCGAAATTAATGAGAGACTTTCAATTGACGTCAATGGACTTTGAGTCAGGCCCTAGAAGAATCAGCCAATGAGTGATGGCTAGGAGCACGGGCAGATGGGATGGCTGACAGTTACCCTATCAACGTATGATACAGTCATAAGGCAATCCTGCCTGGAGCACCCTCCTGAGGCCAGCTGTGGCACTACAATTGTGCCTGCCTCAGTTTTCCCTCTCAGCTAACCCAATAACTTCACTTCAGGCTCTCTTGACACTGTAATACCAGCCTCTGGGTTAGTTTGTTATAAAAGCCTTTGTGCAATGCAGTACATAACACAAATCGGAACCACATAGTCCATTTCTCACCCCAGTGCAAGCAGTCATGAAAGTTCAAGACATCTCTTCCCTTGCCTCACATACCACCACTGTTAGCTCTGTGTTCTTGGGGAACCAGGGCGCAGTACCCAGCCTGTCTGACTCACAAAGGACCCCCTCTCCCCGCAGCCTCTGCTTGAATTAAAACCAATCAGAAGAAAGACTTACAAAAAGAAATGAAAAGGCAGTGGGAGACACACCTAAACCCCTGGGATAAGGATGACAGGATTAAGGAAACTCCCCTAGCCTCATTTGCATCGAAGATGGGACAGGGAGGCATCTCCATTAGCATACAGAATGGAGAACAGAGATTCCAAGGCAAGAACCGCATGGAACTCTGGGTCCAGAAAAGCAGGGAAGCACTGCATCATGGGGGATCTCTGCTCCAGATGGTAATGAACCCACGCCTGCACACACCCAGCTCAGTAGTTATCAGACCAATTCTAGTAATAAATCCTTTATTGGTATCCAAAATACTGCAGCTGCCTAATTGCACTGTGAGCTCCCTCCAAGGAACACCGCCTATAGTCAGGAATGATCAGCTCCCATTGTCTAGCCCAGTGGTTTTCAAACTTTTTTTCTGGTGACCCAGTTGAAGAAAATGGTTGATGCCTGAGACCCAGTGGAGCTGGGGATGAGGGGTTGGGGTATGGGAGGGGGCTCAGGGCTGGGGCAAGGGGCAGTGGTGTGGGAGGGGGGCAGGGCTCTGGGCTAGGAGTGCAGGCTCTGGGGTGGGACCGGGGATGAGGGCATTGGGGTGCAGGAAGGGGCTCTTGGTTGGGGGGGGCTCAGGGCTGGGGCAGGGGATTGGGGTGTGGGGTGCGGGCTTACCTCTGGCAGCTCCTGGGCAGCAGTGCAGCCGGGGTGCAGAGGCAGGCTTCCCACCTGTCCTGGCACTGCGAACTGTGCTGCACCCCAGAAGTGACCAGCAGGTCCAGCTCCTAGGCAGAGGTGTGCAAGCAGCTCCGCGCATCTCTTGCCCACAGGCACCCTCCCAGCTCCCATTGTTGTGAGTGTGGAGCTGGTGCTCGGGGTGGGGGCGGAGCCTATGAGCTGGACCTGCTGCTGGCCGCTTCTGGGTAGGGACTACTAGTTTTACTATTAGTTTTTACTGGCATTCCATGACCCAGTACTGGGTTGCAACCTGAACTTTAAAAACCACTGGACTAGCCTGAACAAAACAACTTTGGTATACTCCCTTGAGCCATCAGTTTGCCCATAAACAAACCTAGTCTCCTCCCTTGAACCATTGTTGTTTCCCTACAAAAACCCCTACCCACGCTCAAGTAAGGGTTCTGATGCCTGGATCCGAAATCTGCATCAATTCCATTGGGACTTTATCTTCTCCTGACTGATCGTGCTGGGGGCTCTGCCAGTCTCCAGCACTCCGGACCCTCAGCTATCACCACCCCCTGGGACCCCCAATCGATTCAAGCTTCACGGAGTGGTGAGAACCCAACTCTCTCTCTCTCTCTCTCTCTCTTTTTCTTTTCTACTGTAGGCATATCTTTCTAATCCTGACTTGTGTGATCAGTTATAGTTTTCTAAACCTGACTTTTGTAATAAAATTTAAGTTAGATTTAATATTGTAACTGTTTTGTTTGTTTGGCTCTCCTTGTGTGGTTATTACCTGGCAATAAATAACTTTTATGGTTCAGCTGGTTGCTTCCCTCTCTCTCCCTCTCTCTCTTTTATGTTTTTGGCTTCCTCATTCGCTCTGCAGCAACTCTCCTCTTACCTAAGCTAAAGATCCCTGTAGTGCCCAAAAATCCTGTGGGGTTTGCTCATCCAGTGGGTTACTACCAGAACAATTGTAATGTGAAGGTGGGGATAGGGACGTGCTGAACCTGGAACATATGAGGGTGGCAGCTTGGAAGTGCTGCTTGACCCAGCTGCTCAGGCGTGCTCTATTCCGGTGCAGTGTCTGTGGCATATGAAAGTGGCAGCTTGGAAGTGCCGCTTGACCCAGCCTGCTGAGTCCAGGGACATATAAGGGGTCAGCTTGGGAGTGCTGATTCACCCAGTCTGCTCAGACACGCTCTGTTAATGTGTGTGTGCGTGTATTTGTCTGATTCTGGGGCTGGAGGAACCCAGTCCTGGGGAACCTAGGTCCTGCAGGATAGCTCCATTGGGAGGGACTTGCAGCAGGGAGAAGTAGAGCTCCGTATGAGAACACAAGTGACACAAGCAGTACATTGATAGAATTACAGACCCCTCGCCCAGAAGAGTAACCCTAACAAATAAGTGTACCCCAAAGTAGCAGGCAAATCTGGTAGCAGCCCTCATCACCTTCAATCATGCCTGGACTCTCTATCAGTCTTCTTCTGTCCTTCTGCCACCTCAGCCTTTCCAAGTGGACTGAAACCCTGCTCTTCCTACTGGGAACCCCCGGTGACACCCTGTACCGCATATGACCCCCTGTACTCCATGTTCACCACTTCTGTAAGGTTATGATTTATTTTGTACAAAGTATGCTTGTGAGGTATCATTTGCAAACTCATAATCTGCTGAATATTATCATCCCATTGAAATGTGTGTAAAATCACTGCATGTAAAATTATGAGATTTTTCTATATGATTGTTACTGAAATATGTTGTAGTTCTGGGTAGCACTCACTAACTATTTTCTCAGAGACAAAGGCGCACTAGCACACCAGAGACAGGCCATTTACAAATGGGGTCTGAGCCCAAAAGGTTGTGAATCACTGCCCTACAGCACAGGGCTCCCTATTACACTTAGAGAAACACAGATTACCAGCAGATTTAAATTACTTGACTCAGTAATGCAAAATGTTTGTTTCTCCAGTGACTGGGGATGCTTTTGAATCGACCTGCAGAGGGAAAATAGCACTTTTTGAGATTTGAGAGGTTTTCATTTCTTTTTCTGATTGATTTTACAAGAGATATTTAGGTCTTGTCTAGCATGGAAGACTCTATGTGCCACTGAAGAACCAGGAAGATTATGCCATCATCAATAACATGTAAGTGAAATCTCTTTAATCAAAAGGGGAAATAGTTTTAATTCAAAATGCTAAAGTCTGTGTTTATATCTGTTTAACCCAAACACTCAATTAACAGTCGGGAAAAGAGTTCTCTTTGTTAAAGGTCCAACACTTGAATTAAGTTCTGACACAAGTCATAATCCTCTTCTCTGAGGCCCTCAACTAGTCCCCCAGCAAAACCAACACACAGTAGACTTGATGCTCCTGATTTTTCTAAGTTTGAAAAAACAACAACAACGGGGGAAAATAAACCCTCTCAGCCCTTTCCATTATCGACTGACAAAAACACCACCAACAATCCCATAGCCTTTTATTTGGGGCCAGCCATGAAACAAATAAATCAAGGGTTAGAGTTGGAAAATGAAGGGGCCCAGGAGGTGGTCGCTGAAGGTGAGAGGGCAAGAAAGAAGAGGAGAGTAGCTAGTCCTGTAGGAAGAGGGGAAGAGTCAGTGGAGATAACAACACCAAATATGAGCCCCAGGAGGATACGGGATGAGTTGTGGAGGATTGCAAGGGAGAATAGGAATCGAGAGGATTTGCAGCCAGAGGGAACAGGGGATAGACCGGAGAATCGCACCATCACCAGGAAAAGGCAGGTCTACGTAATTGGGGACTCCTTACTGAGAAGAATAGACAGGCCTGTAACCAGAACTAATCCAGAGAACAGAAGGGTGTGCTGCCGGGTGCTAAGATACGGGATGTGGACCTGAGGCTGAAGAGGATCCTAACGGTAGCGGA